CGTAATGAAAGTCTCTCTAACAAACAAGTTGTTAATTCAACTTTACACAAGTCAAATTAACCATTAATTGTAACGACTTTGTGTAAATTATGATAACCTGCCACTTTATTTATACTTAAGAGCTTAACACTTCATTATGCTAGCCTACTTTATAGATTAGATAATGTTATCTCTGACTTTTGCATCTTTTTCATGCTTCTAACTACTTTAATAGGCTAGGTTTAATAGGCTTGAAATAGACCTGATGGTTTAAGGAAATGATAGCTATTTAAGCACAATTAGGGTAAAAAAGGGACAATAAGCGTTTCAATGTTCAGCTTACTGAGTTAGAGCCTAAGGTCTGCTGAGATTTCATGAATAGTAATCTTGGAAGAGTGCAGGTAAAGACGCTTCGCACCCATGGTGAAATGTAGTGAGTATCAGGTGATCTCCAGTGTATGTTAAGTACAACAACGGTGGCAACAACAGAAAGTGTGATGAGGATCATCGTGAAGAGTAGATATTTCACAATTAATGGGACCACGATACTGGTAGGTGGGGATATCTCGAAGATAAGCAGGAAGAAAACAGTCAACGAAATGAGGATACTGATTGAGAGTGACATCTTTTCCCCGCTTCCTGCGGGCAGATAAAAGACCAGCACTGTAAGCAGGGAGATCGCCAAGCACGGACAGATCAGATTAATGCCGTAAAATAGAGTCCTTCGTCTCAAGACGACAAAATACTTAATATCCAGGTATGGCTCCTTACAGCATGCATAATATTCGATGTTCCGTAGAGCTGAGACGTCTAGCAAATCCCATTCGACATCGCCAACGTACTGACTCAAGTCAATGGCATAGTCTATATGGCTGATGCAATTATCAAAACCCGCGTTGCCATGTTTTCTCTGAGCTGTGTGCCGGAGATCTATCAGATGACCGTTGTGAGTCCAAGTGCCAATTTTCAGGGTACAGTTTTGTTTATCGAAGGGAAAGTATTCGACGTCTATCTGGCACTGCGACGTGGAGATTATCGGTGGCCTCCAGTGTACAGTACCGTCATGACGAATTGTCACTTTTGTGTTTGCTGAACTGGCTAAGTCCCAGTCGCCTCCAGCACTGAAGCCACCGTGGATGGTTTCAAAAAACTTTTTAAAGATGTTATGAGAAGCAGAGCAAGGTCTTAAAAGGCCTTAAGATACAGCTGCTGCTTAATTCAAGTAATTTGATAGTTAACTACGAATACAGTTAGAAATCGGCACCAATGCAGAGATGCCAATTTACATTAATATGTGCGATGTAGATAAATAAAAATGAGTAAATAGGGAAGGATAGATTGCTTGTTGGTTTGAGACATATAAGCCCGATATAAAAAGTCCAATAGTTAGAAAATATATATTATTTATAAAAAATGAAAGGCCTGAAACAAATGAATTTTAATGGACCTTTGGTTGGTTGAAAGGAAACTTTCAAGTGTATACTACGTACTGCAACAGCTATCAGCCCTTTCTGTATTTGAAGATTTCAAAACTATCAGCAATTCCTGAAAAAAAACTTTATCACCCCAAGTCGCCTAAGGTAAGTAAAAAAATAATAATTCAGTTTTCCCACAATGAGATTAGTAAGTTTGAGGGTACCTTTCTATTTTACTTAGCTGTATGACAAAAAACATGTGTAATTCATGGTTAATTTCAGTTTCTACCTTGTTTTGCCCTCATTAGCACCGCCTGTGGGATTCGATACTCAGTCATGGGTATTTTGATGACGTTTTCCACTCGACTATATAGCCACATGTTTCAATGGTTCATGGGGAAGATGCGGCATAATTGGCAAATTAGGCCTTGCCCAAATCACATTTGTAATGAGTTTGCATAAATAAGCTATTTGATAATATGTAATTATTAAATACTAAATTTGTTACTTTCATTCTAAAGCCTACTTATCTCATTGTGCGAAAACTATATTATCGGAATAAACCAACCTAATGCTTTCTGAAGGAACTAAGATTTTATCCAGGACTTTTTGCTTTCCCTGAGACCTACTTAACGATATCGAGTACATTCAAAAAAATATGTGATTTGGGCGGGGCCTGACTTACCTTGAAGGTCATATGTGTCCTATGATACACTGGCATTCGTGGCTGTGGGTTGGAATGTTAACGTCACCATGACACTAATGATCCGGTATCACACCCCGTAGGTTGCGCGAAATTTTAGTCTACCCCAAATTAGATTGCTTTCGGAAGACAAGGCTAAGTTAAAGTCAATGTCCTCCCAAGGCATAATCATCTCATTGTGGGAAAACTCAACTATCAGTCTTTACTTTAACTTATGCGACCTGAACAAAGTAAGGTGCTATCCAAGCTCTCATGTGTGTTGTATTTTACTCCAACATCAGATAGTTTACTATATACCTACCCGCATTCGATTTATCGACGATATTGCTATAAATGGAAGTTTAAAGAGTTCTCACTATCCCATAAAGTAGCATATGCCTCTTGACTTAAGGGCTTTTGTAGCTAAGCGCAAAAGTGGATGCATAAAGAAACTTGGTGCATATGACAAAGGTTAGAATCCCACCTAAGTTGTTAGGAGGGTCAATATGGCCGTTAAGTTTCTATAAGAGTGCCTTATTTAAAGCAAGATTAAGTGAAACCTAAAAGCTATATGTTGTTTATTCATTTCACTCTTAGGAATTCTGTTTTCAGTTCTAATATCAACTTATGTGACCTTGGGCATGTTATATTATTATTCAAGTCCTACTTAGAGTTTAAAGTATATCACCTCGGATTCAACTAACATCCAACCTATGTCCTCGTCAAAAAAAACAAATACTCTAACTGATTACTTATGTATAATGGGAAGTAAGTACTTTTTAATATAGTGAACCAGGTTATCGGGCTAGTGCAAACTTAATCAATTCGTGAATATCAATCATGTAATCGTAGATAGGAAAACCAAGATTATTTGACCTTGAATTTAGTGTCAATCTACAATGATTTACTGGTAGTCTCGAAACCCTACTTTCTTACTATTTTATTTACTTTGTGTTTATCCTTCCTGTAGCTCCGACCACTAAGCGAAAATGAGGTCAAACCAACATTATCAATAATTTAGCTGAGCACAATACTATTCAAATATAAAATACCACCCTTATCTCCACAAAATTTAATAAGAGTCTATTTATAGATATTTATGGTGATTTAAAATAAATATTCCAAGTATATCTTTACTCCGATTTTGGGTACTATGCCTCTTATAGGGCAAGTTTAATATCAAGTTTCTCAGGGGTAAATTGCATATATGTTAAAATCTATCATGGATATGATCAGTCCTACAAGGTTGGGCCAAAAGTATGACTTAATAGTGATTTGTTTTAATATTCGGATCAAATAAAAATAAATGCACGTTCAATTTCCTTATCCCCCTTTATTCTCATACACTAATCGAATTTTCTATAGGAAAGTCTCCTTTTACTAGTTTCGCCACAAATGTATCATGAATCAATCTTTGCAACTGTATTATCTCATTATTATAATTAGGGATGAGTGATATTAGCTGATTTATAGTGATCCGAACCAAAAGGTTAAACAGTTTCATACCCTTTGATTCCTCTCCTCTTTGTAAAGTCTAACTTTATTTAACTTAATTCTAGCAAATTCGAAGACAGCTTAACTTCCTCAGAAAAATTCATCCTAATAAATGTATCTTTAAATCTAAGTCAATCTTAATGGTTAATATGACTTAATTTATCATTTAATTATTTTACACCTTGCATTTATCACCTTTATAAAACGCTAAATCACGTGTACTCAACATATAGTCTCAAATTAACCATACCTAATTAAACCATAAAATAGTTATGATGCATTGTCTATAACTTCCCACATTTGTTCTTTGTACCCTAATAAGTAATCTTCCTTATAACGTATTTATTTAATTTTTTCTTATCATTATTTTAATTTCATCAAAGTCTTCCTGCCCCTACTAGCCTCCATTTGGACTATTTGCGGTCTGCTTTCTATGATTTAAATAAATGCTTGTTTTTTGCATCGAATTACATTTTTTAATTTTAAAAAAAGTTTAACTAACCAGTATCATTAAGTTAGACTGGATACGATTAATTTTTGATTAAAGTGATGGAGACAATTTTCACTATGAATTAAATATCGATCTAGATTTTGCAAATTGCTAGATAGATTGTTAGGTTTATGTGGCCCCAAAGAAAATTCGTTCGGCCCTTAACCAAAACATCCACATAACAATGCCCATCAAAGGTGGTGACAGGGATACGAGTTTAAAATTCAATCTACATTGAAAAGGATAGACAGCTTGAGATACATAGCAAAGCGAAATTTTGACCAGAAATTTTTATCTTTATTCAACTAAATATCAAACATTATATTGTATTCTGGTGGAATATTCTAAACCAACCCATCCATTGCATAAGAATAATGACCAATCTTCAGGAAAACTCAGAATAAAAACTCTAATGGATCTTGAAATTTTAGCTCCTTCTTAACGAAGTCATTAAATAGTCGACAGAAATGTGGAAAAAGTTCATTTGTTTTTATCCATACAAAAAATCTCAATTTGGATTTAGTTATAAAAAAAACAGCAAAAATTTATCAAATTGTAAAGATACCAGATTTATAAACCAATATTGAAGTGGAAAGTTCATAAGGAAATATATTGATTTTAAAATAATAAAATTAACTATTTTTATAGAAGTTGTTTGACCTTGTTTTAGCAACTTGGTCATATTGATAGGAAGACTTAGAGGAACGCACCTATTAAGGAGTCTATAGAATGCATGATAATTTCCAAAGTCGGATGACAGATGTAGTACATTCCCAGACGTTTAGCCGGCATCGAATTCGGCATCGTCAGTGAGTCTTGCTATTCTTAGCACCATACTAAAACTCGTCAAAAGACAAGTGAAGCCGATCCTTTGACCAAATTTATGCTAAACTGTTGTGGTATCTCTCCATGTGCCTTGGGCTACTCACCTTTCCTATAACCTCTTAACACGCCTTCACTAGAACAATCTTGTTTCCGTGCTTAGTTAACTGTCGTGTGGTGTGCCCTTTTGAGCGGCTTTTGAGAGAACCCTCCACAATCCACCCTTAAGTTCTCACCCCTTTTCACCCTTGTGCAGGGAATGTGGATCTGAGTCTACCATATTGTACGCAGTCCTCCTTCCCTAGATCCTATCAGAGTCTTCCTCTTGCCCCATAGGATCCGCCTGCTTTCCCCTTGATTCAAGTATTTCACTCGACCCTTGTCACCCTATCTGTACTCCACGAGGCGTTAGTATACATCCCCTGTGTCTGGGTGCCTAATTCGAGGATAAAGTACCTGAGTCAGTCTCATGGTGAAGCCTTTGCTACATGAACCACCTCTATGGTCAAACAGGCCTACTGTCAGCCAACTAACTCCAATTTCCGTCGCGTCTATCCTGTTTCTATCCCTAATGCCAAGTCCATGACTTGTTATGCCCTAGTCTCTTTTATGCTAACCCAAAATGTTTTGGTACTGCTTGCCTTGATTATGTTCAATGTTGCGGGTTGGCGCACAAGTGACTAGAGTATAGGAAGTTATGGTCTTGGTATTTCGGATATAAACTGGATAGATAGCGTGGAGGTTATAGCTAATTGACTAAAAATAGAAGTGCTTCATAGATCACGTTTATGATCAAACACGTATATTGTTAGCCAAATAACTCTAGTCTCCACCGCGTCTATCCTGTTTCTATCCATAATACCATGTATATCACTTCCTATGTCCTAGTCTCTTGTATGCCAACCCAGAAATGTCATGGTTCTACTTTTTTTGATAAGGCTCCTCTGAAGACATCTCCTCTTTGCTTCTAATTCTTCCTTTCTTATCTTTTTGCGTACTCTTTTCCTAAAATTAAGGATATTACCTTGATCCAGTTTTCTTCTCTTGGCTGATTTTCCTGTTGCCTGGTCTTCTCCGAGTTTGTTTAGGCAATATGTAAAGTTTTCGCTGATCCTGCCTTCTTCAAGTCTCTTGTTCATTAAATTTCTCTCGGTCAGTATATTAAGGGCTCATAAAATCATACGTTTTATCGTATTTTCACTATATTCAGC